AAGTAACTATAGAATCACCGAGCCATCAGTGTTAACCACCATCTTCACAGCCGAGAACTTCACCGCAACATGGTGGGATAAACCCCGAGTACTCGAATGTACTCAGCCAGACTTACCGTCGAAAACCAAAATAAAAGACACCAAGGGTCATGCAAGGCTTATGAGGTGGGCTAGCTTGACACATTTGCATAAAAGAGCTTATGAGCATAGTAACCAATTTAAACTTAGCATCAAGCTTATCATCATTTACTGTCCACTAGATTAGCATTCGTGTACTAGAGCACTCACTTATTAGGAGCAATCAATATTAACCATAGCAGGTATAATAAGGGCTGTCATCATCATATCATCATTTCTGAACCTTTATGTTATTAAGTGTATCTACATTGGAGATAAGCCCGTCAAGTTCTCACTAACCGGGAGAGACGGCGACTGAATCGAATTACAACTCAAATTGAGGGGTATTCCTAACTCTCACCTGGCATACTTAGCAAAGGGTAGCCGTGGGTCACCTTTGGGACATCTCAGAACCAAATTCAGCGGGTTCGATCAGCGCCAAGACTCTCAGGATTACCCTTACGCCGGGATCGATCGGGACTTTTAAATCACTGCCCTTGGACTCACGCCCACGGCTCCTTCCGAGGCGCACTTTATACTTATCGACTCCCGGCCTGAGGTGAGCTACTCGGCCATGTGTCGGTCTTGGTTGACACGGCCAACTAAGAGAGAGGCATGCGTTCAACATGAGCAGGAAAGGCTCCAAGAATCAGTCTAGTTTAAGCGACGTGACGGAGTCACTTGCAAACCGACAAGCCTCCGTCCGGTCTTCATTTCAAATTAAGACTGGTTCTTTTCCACGATAGCAAATATAGCCAACCGTGCCACATGTAGATTCCTATATCTCGTGGATGTGAAATCACCCGACTTCTACCGTGTTTAAGCAGGCTAAGCACTACACGAGCCTGGGCTACATAGGATTTAGGGTATCAATATCCGGACAAGGATTGATAACCAATGCAGCAAGTGTTTTCATCCAACGCCTAAACTTAATGCAACAATATATATATGTAACAATAATATTGTAACTGCATTTCAAAAATTAGGAGGCTTAATATGCTCCGGGGCTTGCACGGGATCCGACACAAGTCGTTGTTAGGTAGCGACACTCGCTAAGTGAGCATCTCCCGTTCTAGCACTTGTCCGGATCCTTCCACCTTCGGGATAGGTCCACCATACACCATCGTCTGTCTCCACATCATGCGCTCCACGTCCACGTGCTGTACCTAAGCGTACCTAGGATGAGATGCATAGATGCAGATGCATGAACATAAAGAATACACATGAAGGAATGCAACAAGCATACTAAACAAGCATATGTTACACTATACACACATAAGCATGTCATACAACCAGCTAGCTATACATGATCAAGTACTTCACAATTTAGCAAAACAGTTTAGGCATGCTACCTTAACTCTAGGTGTCCAAGATAACCATTTGCAATCATACAAACAAGAGCAAGTAGAAGCAAACAATTCTAGATACAAGCAGATTTGGACAGCAGCAAACAGTCACTTGTTTCAAACATAACCAAGCTACAAACATCCCACAAGGATGATCTAAGACTTTATGAAAATCCATAGAAATTGTATACAAGATTGATGCTTACATAAAAAGCTAATTACAAAGTTAAACAGGTCAAACATGTAGATGTTTCAGACCTGTCCAGACATGGACATAAAACTGATTGCAACTTCAGAGAAGCATAACTGTAGTTACACAAATCCAAATGACTTGCAAGAAGACATTTTGGAAAGCTTATGAAATTATCTACATTTCATCTATAACCATCATAGCATGATTCACAAGTTAAGTAGGTCGAAATTATATCTTTACAGAAACTGGTTTATACAAAACAGAGAGCAACAAACCCTGTACTCTAACTTTAAACAGTTGTAACTCTTAAACTACTTGGCCAAATGACACCAAATTTTAACAGTAGCTAGATACATGAATTATCTACAACTTTTGTATAAACAAGTTTCACAACAAAGCACATTATCATGAAGAACTTTGCTAAGTTCTCAGATCTGTCCATAAACCACATCGGCAAGAAAATAATTATTAACTTATGTTGCAAACACATAATTGGGAAAAACCAACTTTACCAACATGTCACACATGACTAAAGAACACCATAAAACCTAGTGTCCATGACCAAATAAATTCTTTTAATGCATTTCTTAATTTATTTTAGATAACAAGGTGACTTAAGGAACATATACCAAAAGTATACAATAAATTCTACAAAAATTACAGTAGCTCACATATCCTCTCAATAGTCTACTGCCAAAATTTCACTTCATTTGAATATGTATAGCAACCTCTATGAAAAAGACAAGTTGCTAAAGCAAGAAATCATGTGAGAGCAAGATAAACCAATAACTCACTCATACTTCATCCAATACTCATGAAATTTTTACCACACATCAACTACCACATGATTAGCATGCCACAAAAATTTCACTTCATTTGGAGCCCTAGATCTACAGTTATGAAAAGACAAATACCACTAGCATTACAAACCTAGCTGCATAAATATATTTTTACAGCTAAAACTTTAAAGTAAAACATGTAATATTATAGATCTATTGCATAGAAAATTTCACAAGGATTCCAAAAAGTCCTCATTTGCTATTTTACGAATTTCCTATGAATTACTATGAATTTCCAAAGATTCAGCAAATTTACAGCAAATAGGTCCTTATCGGCACTATTCATTTGAGTCACATACTTCGCAGTTAGACCCCTTACTTTTGTCAAATTTGAGTCCGAAGTCCCTGTCGCGAGTTGGGGAACATGAGGAGGCCGGGGAATCGGCCGGTGGCGGCCGGAGAAGGCTCGCCGGCGGCGGCGAGTCGCGGGGAAGGGTCGAGGGACCCGCACACACCCGTAGGTGACAACGGCTTGCCCCACAGCGGCCCGAGGCTCGCTGTCCACGTGAGCAGGCGCACGGCGGCCATGGCTGTCGCGTGGCCACGCTCTACAACGGCGAAGGAAGGTCGAGGAGGGGCGCGCGAGGACCAGGGAGAGGACGGGCGGAGCCGTGACGGAGGATGGTGGCTGCCGAGCGACGCCGGAGGTGCGGAACCACGCGAGGCAGAGAGCTCACCAAGTGGCAACAATGGCGCGTGCGGGTCGGAGTGCGCGTTCGACGCCAGAGAGCGAGGAAGGAAGAGCGGAGAGGTGAGCGAGTGATGGAGCAGCCCGTGCGCTGGTTTGAGGTTTGAAGGGCGCGGGCAATACAGCGTGGCACTGGCATTGAACGCGCAGCTGGTCGGCCATGGGTGACTCTTCTGCGGTGCATGGTCGCCACGATGGCGTTTCGTCGAACACGTGGTGCGCGGCGATGAGAGCCCGGACCGGGAGTCTTTTGCTGCATATTCCGCGCACATTCGGACCTTGGCACCAATAGCAATGTTGCTCTACTCGGGATGCTCTACAAACTTGATTAAGGCTGCTGGTCATTGGAGCAGTAGATTAGCGGCTAATTAACTCCTAAAATGCCACCGTCAACAACATAATAAGGATTAAGCCTTGCTCGGTTAGGACTCGAATTTGTTGGTCAAACATGATCAAACTTGT